CATGCTAAGCGTGGTGTGAGCAGAGAATATGCCAGGCAAACTGCTGTTGGACAGTTTTGCCTGTCAGGTTGTGTTCTTCAGGACTCTATGCTGCTTTGGACTACCTCTTGGGTTTTGATGTCTTTTTATTGCTGCAGTGATATTATTGGGGTTTGTATTTTTAAGGTACAATTGCTTGTTTAATCTGCTAGTGGTGTGGGAGATGGTGGTGAGCAGCAGAACAGGAAACTAAGTCTTAGCAAGGTGCTTACATTTCTAAAGCCTGGTACTTTGGTGTGTTCTAGTGAAATGTGAAACTGTCACTGATGGTGTTGAATGGGTCTCTTAACGCTTGTTTTTACAGCATGGAAACTTTCATGGACGTCTTTCATATACTCATCTAGTTAGTAGTGGGCTTGATGCATTTGTTGTGCTTCTCACAGTAGTAGAGCTGTGTCAGTAGTCATATCAGGTGCTGAATAGTGAAAAACTTGGAGCAAATGTCTTTGATGTACACTTCTCAAAACTGCAGACCCTGGGACCAAAAATTACTAAGAACCTCTCTATCATTTAACTGGAAGTTTGGCTTCCGACTAGTGATAGAAGAATTTAGTTATGGAACTACAGACAGGGATCAGCCTTTTGTAGGGCAAGGTCATCCCCAGTAGTCTTGGGGTTGCCAAAAATGAATCAGGTTTTCAGGTATTAGGTGAAATGTTATTTTCCAAACTGCTAAAAGTTAAGCCTGTGACTATAATTTAAGCATTTCTTTGGGATTGAGAACCTGTTTAAGAGTGGCTGTTTTATAACTGGTTAAACTTGGGTTACATCCTATGAATGAGGAACTGGTCAGTAGAAATAAATATTTGATTATAAGCCATGATGTTGTATTCTCTTCAGCTCATCTGGCTGTGCAGAAAGGATCATTAGAATAAGTATCATTTTAATGTTAACTTCATTCATGTCAAAGAAGAAAAGCTACTAACAGTGTTACTGTGTTACGGCTGAGCTGTATGCAACACATAGTAGCAGAACAATGTCAGTGCAGTGTCCTTTGATGCAGTGTGCACCACTGCTAAGGCAGGATGAAGAAAGAGGCTACTTGTCTCTGCTGCAGACTGAATTCGTATCATGCCCAGACAGCACCGTTAGGAACAGATTCCAGTTATGAGATGAAATCACTGAATATTGCTGAAGTTAATCAGCATGATCAGTAACTTGAGCCAGTTTCCAGTAAAACGGGTAATATAGATCCAAAGAAACAAAAATATGTTCTAATTGACATATAATCTGTTAATATGTTTTTATATGATTAAGAATAACCACTATGAAAGAGAAGTGTTTTGTAGCAATAATACAAATTTTGGACTAGTAGGTTCTTTTACTCGAGATGGATCAGGCAGCAGTTTTGAGAAGATTCTTTGGCAACGACTGTATTATAGTGGATTAAGAAACATTCACTGAAAATAAATTTTCACCTAACTGATTTTTTTGTTCATTAAAAATATATATATATATATATGGGTATTCTATTTTCTACAATATGTACTTACTTGGAAATAAGTAATATAAGCAATACTGATGTTTTATTTAGGTAGCCATAAATGGTTTAGGAATTAGGAAATTAAAATAATTGTTTAACAGTTGGTAATGTCTAGTAAAGTAACTTTCTTAACTTTTTTGCTTTTTTCCCTTCCCTCTCTAGTCAAGCTACAGTTAAGGTTTTCAGTGTATCGGTGTCTACATCTTCTGTTTAAAACAAATGTAAACACTGTGTTGCATAGAACTTGAAAAATTGCACTAATTTTTAAACTTTTGGTTTTATTTTTCTTTGGAAAGAGTTCTTTTATATTCACATAAAGATTTTTAAAATTAATTCTTTGGTGTCTTTATTCCAAGCAGTGTATTTAATGGTCCCTAGCTGATGTAAGTATCCATATTTCTGGGCAATATGTGAGCTGGGTCTGCACGTTGATATAATTACACCATCTAAAATGTCATGTTACAGGAGATGTAACACGTCTGTGTAATGAGTATGTGTGCTGTGACGACCACAAATCAGAGTTGTGTTACCTTCCCCTCCTCTCTTCAGTTCATTTTTGCTTACAGTTCTGCTCCCACCCAGAGCTGGTTACCTCTACTCAGTCTGCTGGCAGTCCTCTGGGAGCTGGGCAAGGGACCTGGTGATGTGGAAAGACTAAAATCCACCGCAAATGAGCTGTCGAGTGGCTTCAGTAATGCTTATGGCTACTGCAGTAAGTTAGGACTTCTGCCCCCTCAGCCCCACCTAAGAGGATGCAGAGGACAGGTACACATCACCGTGCTTGTTAATATTTGGAAAAGAAAACTGAGCGCCCTCTTTGGTCTGCTCTGCAGGTTATTCATCCAGTTCTTGGTCTTGCTGACAATTTTCTTGTTCCCTGAGCACTAACCTCAACCCAGAAGTGAGGTTGGGAATGAAAGCAGGCAGCCGTTCAGCCCTCCGGACTAAAGATCGGCTGGGAGGAGGCGTCATGAGTTTCCGTCAGGTGCCCTGTTTCAACCCTGTTTTCACCACAGGTTTTCCCTTTTCTGAACCATAATCCTTGGCCTCACTCTACCAGCATTGGTAAGTAGTTCTTATTGCCTTGGGCTGCTACCCCTGCGTGGTTGGGGAGCTGTGTGATACCTCAGCATGGAAGGGCCCTTCACTGAGTGTGAACAGCCAGATACAGAAGAACCATTTTTTCTTCTTTCTGAGGCTGGATGTAAAAGCTTTTTCAGATGCTGTTGAACGAAACCCGCAGGTGTGTGTGTGTGAGGGAGAAGGGAAGAGGCTCTGGGCTGTGCAGGAAGCCTGAGCCAAGCTGCAGGATGTTTTCAGCCTGTCTGTGAGCTGTCACAGGACATGCACCGGCAGCCCGGCCGCTGCTGCCTTCCTGAGTGTGGGAGGAGTGAGCGAGGGGTGGGGTGTGCAGGGGGGGCAGCAAGGGGTGGGGTCTGCAGGGGAGCTCTTGTTCCCAGGGGTTTGGTCACGAGAAGGTTCAGTCAAACGCAGACTGCCTGTGTGGAGCCTGGGCCCCTCTTTGCTCACGGGTTTTCTGGTAGCTCCCTGAGAGCCAAGCACTGCAGTAGAAGGTTGGTACGTTTAGGCGAGGGGTGTTTCTGGAAGACAAGTGTGGGAGTACAGCCCCAAGCACAAAGAGAGGGAGGAGGTGAGCTCAGCTGTGCGTGAGAGGTGCTTTCAGTGGAGGGGGCAAAATATCCAAGGAGGCCTCGTGCAAAACACTGTGAAATGTGCTCTGTTGCTCAGAGTACAACTAACCCAGCAGAGACCCAGGGAGGACGGGGAGGAAACTTTTGGATATAGCAGCAGCCTGGGAAAGGAAACAGGAATCTGAGCCAAGGAGTGGAAAAAAAGGGAGTCAGATGACACCTGCGAAGTGGAAGTGCTTTGGGAATAGTGTTGCACACAACAAACTTGTCACTGCTCCCCTCTCTTGTTCCCAGTTGATTCCAGGCACGCAGCCCACTTCCAGCCTTCCCCTTCTGCTTCTCCCAAGGCAGGAAAAGAAAGAACATAAGGTTAGAAAGTCACATCAACTTCCTTGTTTCTGCTGTGAAGGGAAGATGTGGGAGCCCCTTGCCAGGAGCAGGTCAGGAGGGCAGCTGGCATGGGGAGAGGAGGGGTGGTGAGCTGGGCTTGGGGATATCTCATCCTACTTTTAGTGAGAATGTGGTCAAGCCTCCTGCATTTTATAAATAGGTTGGTTTGGTTCCCACCATGCGTTACATCCCCACCTTATGGATCTGTGGAACAGGAGCCTTAAGTGCCAGAAACAGCATCTTAGTCCAACCTCATGTTTCTACCCAGCTGTGCCTGGCACAGAAAATCAGAGGACAGGGCAGAACCACCAAGCCCTGTGCTGGAATAAGCCTTGCCAGAAGCTGTGTTCACCTGCTGTAAAGTTTTATTCATATTGTTATGGCTCTGCTTGGACCAGATGTGCAGCTGTAGGGCCACAGGGTGCTTCTGCCCTTTTGTGGGCTGGTCTGTAGGGCCAGCCCACCTTCCATGCTTACTCCCCTCTGTGCTTAGAGAAGAAAATACAGATTAAAATAAAAGGATTTAAATCCGACCTGGGCATTAATACTCGTGTGGAGAAAGATGTTTTTAATTCCTTCAGGAGATGACTTAATACTTGGAAGAGATGCTGGGAAAAATTTGCTTCCTCTAGGAACATGCAGAAAGTACTCCAGGAAAAATTGAAAATGAACAGGAAAAGATTGCTTTCTCCTTGTGTGCCCGGCAGGTGAGCAGGAGTGGAAGGTGTGTGCTGTGGGTGTGGTGTTGTGCCCATACCTGCCTGCTGCAGCTCCCCGTGCCTGGGGGCCTTGCCAGGGTCCCACTGTGCAGCTGGTACTGGGCTGATGCATTTGCAGGTGTTACCCATCACTTGTCAATCCCAGCTGTTTCACCTTGCATGTGATGGTTTAAAATAATAGCAATTTGTTGCTGGTATTTTCCAAGGGAGCCTTTTAGTCATTAGACTGTGGAGTGCAGCAGGCTTAACCCTGCATCTTCTGTTGTGGGAGCTCACCCCTCTGCCTCCCCCGGGCACAGCAGCTGCTCAGTGATGCTGGGCAGGTAAACGGGGAGGATTTAAAATAGTCTAAGAGGCAGGACCCACGACTTCTCTAGCTACAAGTACACAAGTTTTGCAGAGAGATCTATCAGAGTAGAGAGCATTTAACTGCTGTGGCATTCCAGGACCCAGACACAGGCCTTGATGGTTTCCCTGCTAGTTTAATTGTATTGTCAGGGTCATTTATTTTCATCAGTTCTAGAGGAATTGCCTTTGTTACAGTGCCAGCCTCTCTGCCACCAGAGCGCCGTGCTCAGCAATATGGGTTGGGTGCTGTGTGGCTGCCTTTGCCCCCAAAACATGGGGCATGGCTGAAGGCTACAGCCAGTGCTGGAAATCACCTCCATTGGTCTTCACTCTGTAGAACACTTTGACAAAAATGTTTCAGTAAGGATTTATTGATGCGTATGAGAGATATGTTACAAAGTGACTTTTTTTTTTTAACAGATTACATGTCAAGGATAATAAAATCAAAAAATGTTGGTAATTAATACTTGCATTAATGTTATAAACCAAGGGCTGATACTGCTTTTCTACAGTACTCAGTCTGAATGCTGCAATTTCTAAAGTGTTGCCCATTCTCTTGCCACTGTGAAGCATGGCCATCCATCATGCAATTAGGAAAGCCCCAAGCCCCTCATTCATTTACAGTGCTGTATGGCAAGCCCTGGCAGATCCCAGGCTGATCACCTTTCTCATGTGATACAGAGTGCAAAGTCTGCTTGTAAAAGAAATTATTTTATAATTGTTTTAAAAGAAACAAACCAGCCACCCAGCCTCTCCCTGGAGCAGTCATTGCCACTGCCCAGGGGGGCTCTGAGGGCTCCCTTTGCAGCATCATTGCCAAAGGATTGTCCTTGAGAAGATGGTGGCCAAGGCTTCCCTACCGAGGCACGGCGCAGATCTTGTAGGGCTGTGGGGACATCGTGATGCCCAGCTTGAATTTGAGGCTGAGTGTGGTGTCTGGGGGTGCCTGGACAGTGAATTTCTGGAGCAGAGCCGTGAAGAAGAGGAAGAGCTCGGAGCGGGCCAGTGCTTCGCCCAGGCAGGCACGCTTCCCTGTGGAGACAGCCACCTGTGGCATCCCAGCTGCTTTCACTGCTGAAAAACCCTCTGCCTTCCCTCAGTACCACAGTGCAGCCCAAACAGCTCCCCAGTAACAGCACTGGCGTTAGAGCGGGGGCTGCCCCCCTCAATTGCATGACTTTGCGAGGGTGTGTGTGTGTGTAACCAGAGGCACACATGCTGTATCCTGCCCTTCTTGGGCAAGCTGTGCTGATACACACGGTCTGGACGTGTCCATACTGGGAGAGGTAGTTTGTTTGAGCTACACCAGAGACAGCTACCAGAGATGTGTGATGCTGGTATGGGAAACGAGGATGTTAAAAGCAAGGGGAAGCAGTTGGTTGGGGTTCCCTGTGGTGGCAACAGTGAAGCCCTTAGTGAAAGCTGTGGGGGAGCAGGAGCACAGAGCCATGCTCTTGCCTCGAAGCAGGTGTTTCTAGGGTCTCTGGCATCCCTGTGGTCTCTTGTTCATCCCAACCTCCCTTCTGTGCGTGTGAGGAGAGAGAAGGGGCTCAGTGTGGCTGTGGTGCTTTGCAGTGGCCACAGGAGCACCGCTTCGGTGGCACTTCCCAGGGAGCAGCCAACAGATGCCCTTTCCATTTCTATCTTCCTCTGTCTCCACTGTGCAGTTGGAAGCCCCAGCCTAGTGCCTCAGCACAGAAGCAGCAAAATCCAGCAAATCTTACCTATAGAAAATGGTATGAAATACTCCCTTTTCCAGAACTGACCGTCCTTCAGGAAATGCCCAGGGTTAAAAGTGTCAGGGGTTTCCCACTCATTCTTGTCAAACATCACAGAGCTTAAATTTGTGAGCAAAGTAGTGCCCTAAGGTGACAAAAAGAAGAATAAATTTCATTTTCTCTGTCACTGATGGCAGGAGAGGCATTTTTATCCAGTCTCCTCTCTATGAAGAACATCCATAGTCAAATTCTGCTGCAATTATTTGTCCAATGCCCCCTTGCACAGCCAGTTTTTCCTACTTCGCTGGAGGTGCAGTGATCATATATACGTTTTTCCCTCATCATTATCATTTTTATCTGCTGCAGCTTTGGGCCAAAGTTCCTGTAAAAGTTGTGTGAGATAGGACCTGTGCCTCGAGGGTGTGCTCAGAGGGTGTGTCGCCCTGCAGTGCTCTGCAGCATTCATCCTGACTGAGAAAACGTGTTTGCCAGGAGTGAACTCTGGACAGGGCAGAGATGCTGTGGCTCTACCTTTCCTGTCTGCACAGGAGGGACTTGGCCTGGCAAATCGTGCCTGGGGAACGGGGAGTGTCTTGCTAAAGTCTCAGCGCTCAGCAGTGGGGTTACCTTTGGTATGTAGAAGCCATCCACGACCGTGTCCTTCACTGACATTCTTGGCACGTTGAAAGGGATGATGTTGCTTTTCCTCTGCACTTCATGGATCACAGCGTTGGTGTAGGGCATCTTGCTCTTGTCCTCCAGGGCTGGCTGGCGTGTCTGCCCGATGACTGCATCGATCTCGGCTTGTACACGGGCTGGTGGGAAAGCAGGGGTGAGCCAAGGTTCAGGAAAAAAAAAAAAAAAAAAGCCTTGGAACAACACAAGGTTGTTACTGTGAGGGTCCCCCAAGGACTGACCTGGGGCACCTGTCACCATTTGCATCTCTTTGGTGTGAGCGCTGGGGATTCCCAATTTTTCCCCTCACAAAAGAGAGGGCTAAAAGCAAGGAAAAACACTGCCCTTTTGCTAACTGTACCTTGTATTTCTGGATACATGGCCATATACAGCAGAGCCCAGCGGATGGTTGTGGAAGTGGTCTCAGTCCCAGCAAGCATCAGGTCAAGTGTGCACGCCACCAGGTTATCCTCCTGGAAGGTGCCGCTGCCGTTACCCTTCACAAAAAGGTGTGTTAGTGCCATGCAAACAGCGAGGGCTGCCCTGACACCAGACTTAGCCCAAGTCTTGGTGCCCTGACACCAGACTTAGCCCAGGATCTTGGCAGAATCTACTGTCCCCCTGCACCTCCATCTTACTGATGGGTGTCTTGAACCTGATGCCCATCCTAAACTCATAAATGGCCATGCAGGCAGCTCAGATGGAGAATTTGGGCTTGCTTCTCATCCCTCCTCATTTCTAAGCCCCTCTGCAGAAGGGCTTGTTCCACATTGCTGACCTTGGCTATCTCCTGCAGGTAGCTGTCAATGAAGTCCCGGCTCTCTAAGGGCTTCCAGTCCTCCTTGTGTTTGTTGATCTTCTCTTTCACAAAACTTTTCAACAACTTCCCGTTTTTAAAAATGGTTTGGTGGGCTCCAGGGAAGTATTTCATTATAGATGGGAAAGAGCTGTACAGCTTTGGACAAAAAAGAAGCAAATTGAATAAAGGACTGAAAAAACCCTTCTGTTATCAAAACTTTGGGGACCTGCAGTGCTGCACTTTATAAACTGCTGGAGTTGGTGGAAATAGCTCAGCTCCAGAACAGCATTGTAAGGGATTGATGCTCCTATTACAGAGTGGCTCATGCATTGCCTGGCACTATGGAAGGCAGGTTGGCAGTCAGAGGGCAGAAAGGTGATGTTGGTTGAGAAAGAGCAACATGAGAATGGCACAGCTTGAAAATAAGGCAGAAAGAAATTACAGGCAAATCTACCCTGTGCAAAGGATGTGGGAATGACAATAAATTTTGGTTATAAAACTGCTACCAGTTATGAGGTTGACTCCAGAGAAGAAACTGTGGCCCTGCAAAACTGCACACTGTCCATGTTGGTAGCAAGACGGCTGTACCTGGCTCGTGACGGCCCCATGGAGAGCAACAGTCTCGTCTAACAGCTGCAGAAATTTTTGAAACTCCTCGTCATGGTATTCAAACCGATTGCCAAAGATGATGGAGCAGATGATGTTTGAAACAGCATTACTGACTTTAAAGTGAGGGTTGAAAGGATTCCCTGGAGAAGGAAAAGGGAATGATCAATTATTTTCCAGCCTTCACAGAAAAGAAGAAAACACAGTTGTCAGAGATAAAATATTAAACAAATACGAGTTAAATGAGTGTCACTCTCCTGTGTCCTCCCAATGGTTCCATTTCAACCAGATTAGAGAGATGTTTGTGTACTTTGGAAATCAAGGTCTGCAGGAGAGCAGATGTCACTGGAATTCATTGGAACCATTGGTGTTTACATGCACGTGGGATTTTCCAGAGATGTCCAAGAAAGCAGTAGGCTGAAGGTGAACTATAAATAATGCTTTGGGTGTTACCTAGCTGCATTCACATGCAAGTTTGAGGGAAAAACACCTGTAAAAGGGAGCTAGGATGCTGGCAGGGTGCTAGCATCACTTGAGAGTTATTTTTCAGCATGCAGTGAATCATGGGTGAAATTCTAATGGGCCGTACTGGTTTCTGCCTTCAGCACGGTTCATGAGGGCTGTGGCACACACCCTGCTCATCTCCAAACACATCCACGAGGTATCGGCTCTCCTCCTGGATGCGGTCCTCCAGGCTCCTCTTCCCCAAGCCGAAGTTTCGAAGGGTGGTCAAGATGAACCTCCTCTGCTGCTTCCACAGGTGTCCGTTGGAGGAGATCAGTCCTGGCAGAAACACCCCACCGTGAGCCGAGGCAGATCCCTCCTCCGAGGGGAGAAAGCTTCAGGTCTCTGTCTTATCTCCAGCTGTCTCAGACCTCTGCAGGGTCAACGTTTTGATCTGACAGCTGAGATATGTCTCCTGAGGGATAACTCACCCATGGTGCTGAAGATCTCCCTGTCGATAGGAATGTCAGGGCGATCCATGAAGTTTTCCCCTTGGTTTACAAGAACTTCCTTAACCAGCCGCAGCCCATTTACAAACACAAACCATGTGCTGCCCACCCGCGTACTGAAGACGTCCCCATATTTTTCATTAAGCTGGGAGGGAGGGAAATAAATAAAAGGGGTGTAATTTGTAATGAACGTGTCTGCCGGGACAGGGACAGCCATGACAGGGAGCGCAGATGAAAAAGAGGGAAGTCAAGAGGGGAGACAGTGTGATTGCACAAGTGCCTGCTTGACCGGATTCTATCTTTTTTCTTTCCTATTTTCCCAAATCACTGATTAGGAATTTGTGTTAATTGGCCATAAATCAAGTAAAACTCTCCCAGTTTGATTTTGCAGTCTGTGTTTTTTCAGCTTTTGTTGCACTCCCTTCCCAAACACCCCTCCAGTCCACAGTCAGTCCTGCAAGGCTCCTGCTGCTGTGACTGCACCCGTGCTATTGGCTTGTGCCCTTTGCCCAAAGGATCACTCGACACTTGTCCCCCTCCTCATACCCAGGCAACCTTCATCCACGTTTGGGTTAACGCCCTCCCTGTGCTGTGACGCTGTGTAGCCGCAATCCCTCTCAGTCCCTTTCCCCGTGGTGCCCACCACCCCTATACCTTCTGCATCACTAGTTGGGGGTCTCTGAAGTTCATCAGGTGGATGTGCCCCACGAAGGGGAGGGAGAAGGGTCTGGGAGGATAATTCTTAGGCCTTCTGTTCTTCATGTAGTCAGCGACGAGCAGGAAAACAATGAGGAAGACAAGGAGCATCTGGAAGGAGATGCTCTCCCAGAGGAAGCGCAGCATGGGTGGATGGTGGGGGTCCACAGGGACGTGTCTCGCAGCAGGTCGAGCTCACGGGGCTCCACCAGAACCCCCAGGAACAGGGGGGAGATGGGCAATGTGCTGCTGCGGCTGTGGGCACAAACACAAGACAGCATGGACCGGCTTCTGCTGACCTGGCTGGGTGGCTGTGTTCAGACTCCTGCTTTCCCAGGTTTCAGTAAGGACTGTTTGATTAAACCCCTTCCTGATTAAAATCAAGCATTTCCTCCGCTCTCATTAAAAAAAAAACAAAAACAAACCAAACCTGAACACAAACCAAAACACCCCAGCTTTCCCTTTTCCCTCCTGCCTCCCGCTGTTGTTTTACAATACCCCAGTGATCCGCGCCCTTGTCTAAAGGACAGAAACAAGCTTTAGGGGCCAGGATTAAAACCTTTTGGCAGCCTCAGTGTGCCGTTCCCATGAGCCCATGGCTCAGCATGAGCCGTGCTCTCTCCTCCCCGTGGTGCCCTCACCGTTCTGCGTCCTGGTGTCTGCTTCACAGTGCCGGGGAGGCTCCAGCCGCTCCGAGCGCCTTGTGCTTTCTTGTTTACAGAAGCTCGTTCGCTGATACAGAGTCCCAGGCTGAGCCCCAGGTCAGCAGGGACATCCGAGATAAGATTGCACAAACCATCTGACACATGAATGGAGGTTTTGTTCCGTCAGGGTAATGTGGGCTGGAAGGAAACAGCCTCCCAGGATCTGCGGCGGTTTCTAAGCACCGTACTTTTCTGATCTCTGATGGACAAGTTCAAACAGAGCAACCTGCACTGGCCATGAGATTGACCCTGCCCCAAACCCTCCAGCCATCCCTTCCAACCTGCTTTGACCTTTCAGCCCACAGCCCTTGCTGAAGCTGTGCTCAAACCCCGACAAAGCTAAGGCAGGCGCTAGAAAGCCAAAGCAGATGCCCAGCTCTGCCTTCGGTGGTACCTGGTAACGGGCTGTGCTGAATTTTTCCATCTAAGAGCAGCTCTGAGACAGATCCTGCGCGTACACCACACTGAATTTTGACGCATGTGTTGTGTTCTATTGTGAAAGAAGCAGGGGCATTTGCAGCAGAAGTTTGCCGTTGCATCATGCTGCTCTGCCGCGGCCGTTTGCAGTGGTCAGCTGCCACCTCGTGCTCCAGGGGATGATTTGGGTTGATTTTCTCTCTTTTGGGGACATCAGTTGTAGCCACGGGGGTTGTCCAGGGCCAGAGACAAGGCACAGAGATGCAGCAGCACTGCTGGAGCGAGATCAAAGCCTCTGAAAAACATTTACACTTGAGAAACTTGAAAAGTTAAATCACTGTTTTATTGTGGACTTCACTGAGGAGAATCTGTCATTTCACCTTTGTCTTTTAAAAACACTTAGGCATGAGTCTGTGGAGATGCACGTCTTCCCCTTCACTCGAGATGTTTGCTCAAAAAATAAACAAATTCATGCCTCCTGCCTTTATGGTATGTGATCATTACATTTAGAAATGAGGGTGTTTTTTCGTCCCAGCTGATTGAAAAGAAAAAAAAAAAAAGAAAAAGAAGACTTCAATCATTTATTCTCTCCATTAATAAAGAAGGAAATCTTAAAATAACACGGAAAGTCTGAAATGGAAGAAGGAAGAGATCAGCATTTATTTGCTAAGCAAGTGCAAATAATACAACTTGTAACCACATACCAGAGGTCAGACCTACACCAGAATGAATAAAAAAATTGAGAGGAACCAGTGCCTAGTCCTGAATGGCTTTGAAAACTTCATAGGTGAAAAGAAAGTCTACAGATCTTTTATGTTTTCTCTTTTAGAAATTAAAAAAAAACCCAAACATGGGAGCCTGTAACTGTGAAACATTAATTAAAAATGCAATAGGATTAAAGTGATCAGTTAGGACAGCTCATTGACAAAATCCCTGTGTGCCCAGCATGGCAGGGATGTGATGTGCAAAGGACTCTCCCATGTGGCATAAATCTGCCACTACACGGTGATTGCTTTGTAATGCAGCAAAGGCAGTTATTGCCAGAGATGGAGGCTAAAACCAGTGGAAATGAAACTTGATTTAATCCTCTTTTCCTGTTAACTATTCAGTATCCTATGTGGGTGCCCATGGAAGTCACTTCTGAAAGGTGAGAAAAGAAAAAAAAAAAAAAAAGAAAAAAAGAGGAAAAAACCCCTAGTCTTTGCCGTGACTATATTCCAAACAAAAGCACACAGGAGAGCATTTCTAAACATTAATGCTTGGTCACATAAATGGAAAAATTCTCTACAAGTTGCATATTTAATGAACTTTTTTCTAAAGAGACCCCTGTATAGGCAAAAGCAGTGTCTCCGCCACAGAGGTTGATGTCCCCGACCCACCTCCTTGGCCCGATGCCATGGACATGCCTGTCATACGTGGGCAAAAATCTTTGCCAGAAACAGAGGGGAAGTGGTGAGCTCGGGACTTCCCACCGCAAAGCCTCCGCGCCGACATTTCCTTCCTCATGGCCAGCGGCAAGCTGCCGCGGGCACAACCCTTCCAACGCACCCTGCTGCTTCTCGTTCTCTTGGGCTTCAGTTAAACTGCTCCTGAGTAACTTTTTTTTTTTTTTTTTTTTTTTTTTTTTTTTTTTTTTTCCCCAATTATTTTTTCCCCCCGTTTTGTATTTTACAAGTGCAAACTTTTTTGGAGCAATCTTTCCTGCTCACACAATCGCAATACTGTATTTTTACAGCCATTCAGGACCTGCTGGAGCACAGCTCCTTGTGCCATTCTGCTAGGGTTGGCCTTTGGTAGAAGCTCGTTCTACCACCCTGTAGCCTCCTAATTAAAATCTCCATATACTTACGAGATTAAAAAATGCACGCTTCTCCTGCAGAGATCTCTACTTAGATATTTCCATCACAAAACTGCAGCGTGCTGGTGCAGGGAGCACACACCACATTGACCCCCAAGTCCACCTGAGGCTCAGGATTGGCTGCGGCCACTTGGAAATCCAAATTGGTGCTGAGGCATGAATCCAGAGCTTGTATGTCTGAGGCCAGTTGCCCCCACTGACCAGGGACATCTCAGAAAATGCAGCCCATGACCATACAGGGTGCTGCCAGTGTTGGGATTTAGGGGGTTGCTAAATGGTCTCTGGGTGGTCAACGTATCACCTATGGAAGAGCCAACGTGGCCCTAACTGTGCCCGTGGTTTTGCATCTGGCAGACACCTTCCTGGGAGTTGCTAATGGTGGAAATTAAGTAATAAGCCTTTTAAATTCATGCATTTTGTCAAACTGATAGAGGGGAGGAGGCAGGAGGTGAAGGGAAGAGCTGCAAGGGATGTGGCCCTCCTGCCCTTCCCACTGCCACCTGCATTTTGGTGGGTGCTAGACATCCGTGGCACACCATTTCAGCCCAAAATCTACGGGGCGGATGGGAAAAGGGACACTTTCTGGCTAGTGGAGGGCTGAAACAGGGGGGCACGGGGTGGTCCCGCGCTGGCCTCAGTCTCGAGGCAGCGCACAGATCTGGGAGGGCTTGGGGCAGCGCGTGAGGCTGAGTGTGATGGTGAAGGTCAGGGCAGCAGGCACCGGTGCCCGGAAGGTGAACCTCTGCAAGAGGGCTGTGAAGAAGATGAAGAGCTCGGTCCTGGCGAGCTGCTCCCCAGGACCAGCCCGCTTGCCTGGAAAAGGGACAAAATTAATCCCACGGAGTCCCGGGTGAGCTTCCACCACCTCTGAGGCTCCTCTCACACACAGAGCCTTGCACAGGCTGCGGGAGCTTTTCTTCCTCGAAAGGTTAGGTGGCAATGTTCACCCACACATTTTGCAGAAGCCTTCCCCAGAAGTTTATTGCTGAGCAAACTGCGACGGCTGTTTGGAGAGAGGAAGAGGGGAAACTCAGAAAAAAAAACCCACCAACAAAACAAAACAAACCACCAAACCAAAAAAACCACCAACCCACAAACCCTTTTGCCAGCTTGCACAAGAGGAAAAAGGGTTACTTTTTCATCCTGCGATAACAAATTGATTTTCCTCGTGCTCCGAGCCGTCAGTATTAACTGTTACAGGGATTTTCACTGCGGGGATGGTCTGAAAGCTGGACAAGGAGCAGTACCCCCCAGTCTGGAGGGGGTGTCTTGGGAAAAAAAAAAACAAAACAACAAACAAACCATAAAAAGGAAAACCATCTCCCCATCCATCATCATACCTGCAGAGAAGGGCAGAAAAGCCTCCTGCCTCCTGTACTGGCCATTTTCCAGGAAATGTTCAGGATTAAAGGTGTCTGGAGTCTCCCACACATTTTTGTCAAACATTATCGAAGTCAGGCTGGTCATCAGGGTGGTACCCGGCAAGAGGTGGAGAAAATGGGCCATTCCACGATGGAGAGGAGCCGACATGTTGTTAGAGTTATTTATTATTAGCTCCACGCACAATGTAAACTATATATATATATATTTTTTTTTTTTTTTTTTTTTTTTTTTGTTAAAGGGCAAAATGTTTTTTTTCCCTAAGCTATGTAATTAAATGAGGGTGGAAGCCTACAGGATTGTTCACTTGTGTGTGCCTCTATATATCAGCACAGTGTTGAGCCATACCTTGTGCAGCAGCCACTGGTGGTGTTAATATAAACCAACTTTAAGTTGGTAACACTGTGTTCCCGTAGGAATTTGAAGCAATTTAACCAAATAATTTTCAATCGATCCGCTTTATTGTGCTTCTTTTTTAAAACCTGATCTGATTTATCTCCACATTCTTAATCAGAAAAAGAATATTGTAATCGGTGTGAAGCAGAATTTTTTATTTTTATTTTTCCTTGATGCAACCAGTCATATACAAGGAAAAGACTAGTTATATCTAAAAATCTCCTATTTGCTTTCATAATTGCAGAACATTGTGTACACACCAATACCTATTACCTGGCTTTTATCAAGTCCTGCTTTTAATAGATGATTTTTAATACTCTGTGGAGTTAACAAACCCTAACTGTTTGCTTTCCTGTGTTTCTTGGCTCACGATTCCCATGATGTGTGGAGGATATATTTTATAAAATTTAAGGAACAAACCTTTTAAAATTGAAAAATAACACCAATGCCATAGGGTCTCACAATTCTTCTCCATAAGGAGGTGAGACCCATAACAGCCCTACAGCATCCATCAGGAAGGCTTGTATTTTCTATATAATTGTGGTATCGCCATAAGATCCTGCTGGTTGTTCCCCCTCCAGGTGAGATTCAGATTTTGGGCCACGAGGACCTGGCTCTGGTGGGATGAGGGAAAGGCTGGTGGTCTCACCTACTTTGGGCAGGTGGAAGCCGGCCAGGGTGGTGCTGCTGGTGGACATCCTGGGCACTCCCAGCGGCACGACGCTGCCCATCCGCAGGACCTGGCTCAGCACCGCGCTGGTGTACGGCGTGTTCTCCTTGTCGGCCATCATGGGCTGGCAGCACCGACCCATCACCCTCTTGATTTCGAGCTGCACTTTCTCTAAGGAAAGTAAAAGACAAATAAAATATGTGTGTTCAAACGGTTCTCAATAAGAAACCTGGGGCACAGGCATGTCCAACGTGTGGTAGAGCTGGAAATAACTCTGTTTTCTGAGTTACACTTGCCTGGTTTTGGGCTAAGCCAAGGACCCGTCAGTGGCCCTACCCTGAATGGGGGGTACGCGGCCATGTAGAGCAGAGCCCAGCGAAGGGCGGTCGCTGTTGTTTCAGTCCCAGTTAAGAAGAGGTCCAGAGTGGAGCACAGCAGGTTTTCCTCGTGGAAACACGAGTTGGTGTCACCCTTAAACTTGGGGAAAAACCGTGTCAATGTAAAATCTTATTAAGGAGTGAACACTTTCAAAAATCCAATCCAAACCCACCTGTACGTAACTGAAGACCTGCTGACAGTTTATTATCCACCACTCCTGGACTTGGAAATTTCTACTCCTTACTTTCGTTGAATTTCAAGCCCTATGGCCTGCTTTGAAAGACACCCTGTTTGCTGTTGAGCGACTCTTGAATGTCAGTAACATTTTAAAATGTGAAATTTCACAATAGAAAACACAGGCCTATGAGCTTTCATAGAAATGTGAACACATTCCCTGAGAGTCCTGCTATGCCATGTGACAGAATGAAAAATGAAAGAAGACAAAGTGTAAATACTACCAAAGGGGGGAAGAAAAAAAAATAAAAATTGTGTGTTTTCAAAGTGATCAGACTTCTGCTGTTGCTAAAATGTTTGATGTGAAAGAGGTAGGGGGAAGGCAACTCAGGAGGCATGAGCTCCTCTGACAAAACAGCCTTGTGTCTTGTCTGCTCATTTTATGGGTTAAGGTTTAGGTGGTTTTAGGTATTTCCCTCTTACTTTTTCTATTTCCTTCAGGTAACAGTCAATATAATATCTGGCCTCGGACTGGTCCAAATCCTCCTTGTACTTTGCGATCACTCCTTTCACAAAATATTCAAGTTTCTCCCAGTGCCTGAAGATTTTCCTAAAAGGTCCTGGCAGCCATCTGATGACCAAAGGAAAAGCATTATACAGCTTGAGAAATCAAACAGAGCAAAAGAGCATTTCTTGAGTTAAAAAAAGAGCAGGTTATCATAGGTGAGATGATAGGACAATCTATTAGCTCTGCGTGCTACCAGGAAAAAAAATATAAATCAGTTTTGCTACAAAGGTCAATCTAGTTACCGAGGTAAACAAGTACGAACAAGATAAGAACTGGCCAGAAGTTTTCTGCTGATAAAGTTCCCTAATAGTGAGTGGCTGAATCTGTCATCTAATGCTGGAGTCAGAAATCAGTGTGGATGCGGAGAAGCCCCTTAGTGCTGGGTCTCTGGAGGGGACAGAGATCAGACCTGACCTGTGGTGCGTGACCGTGTAGAAGCTGTGTCCCCAAATCCACCTGTTCTGGTTATAAACCTGAACTCTCAGACAATTTTGTCTGATGGGATTTTCCACAGAGAGTGCTACTAATTGTCTCTTCTTTTTTCAGAAACATAGATGTCTTCCAGGTTTTTCCATTGGGGTTTTTGTTTGGTTATGTCAGTCATAAGATTGGTTTTACAATCCTGTAGCTTTTTTTTTTTTTTTTTTTTCCCATGTGTCTCAATAATTTTAACTTGCTTCTTTGCTTTCCTGGTGGGTTTTGTGTAAACCCAGTCTAATGTAAAACAATACTCACGGTCATTTCCCTTATAACATGACTATTTTCTACGGGGAAAAGCAGATTACGTCAGTGCCTTAGAAACTCTAGTTTCTGAGCACTTACATGCAGCTGAAGCTAGAAAAGCATCCAACTGGCTTTACCTGGCCCCAGAAACTTCCGATGAGCAGCAGCATTTCAGCCAGTGAGTGCAGTAATTCCTGGAAACGGTTGTCATGGTAGTCAAAGCGGTTCCCAAAAGTTATGGAACAGATGATGTTCAAAACAGCACTGTTAATTTTGTAATGAGGGTCAAATGGTTGTCCTGGAGGAAACAAAATGAAAGACAGCTTTCTTTTTTTTTTTTTCTTTCTTTAAAGTCTCAGTCAAAACCACGCTCTCTACCAGATCAACAGCTGTGAAATTGGGGTGAGACCTCACCTACTTTTCACCAATGGTGATGCTAAGGCTTCACCTCGTGTCCTGGGGTCCTCACCACCCCCATCGCCTCCAGCATCCCGCTGGAGGTTGGACGTTGTGTGTCATGACATCCCTTCTCTGAGGACACCCCCTCCTGTCTCCAGCCCAAGCTGCTGGCACACACCAACATCAGCACAGAGCTGCTGAAGCAGGGTTTGAGCCATTTTCCAGGAGCGTGCCACGCTATGGCTGTCAGATTTGCATGCCCCAGCGTGGTTTTGGTGCCAGTTTTAAACACCAGGAGAGGGTCCCTCAAAGCTTAGCCCGGGGCAGGGAGCTCAGAACTAACCACACTGAAAAAATATCATTGCAACGGCCTTTAACTGTCCACCCCAGAGAAATCAAGTGAGATGGAGGAGAGAGGGGAGAGGGAGAGGATTGCAAGTCTCTGTGCCCACCTGTAAAATCCAGCAATAGCTCGTATGGCCCATAGATGTGATGCACAGCAGCTCCTCTAAGAGCAGTGTGGTGTGACACTGTCACATCTGCATTCCCTGGGAGAGCGATCGAGCAGAGGCCATCGTCTCCTAGGTCACATTTGGGCAGCCTGGAGAGCTACCGGCCATGATACGAGAGACTTATATCAGTAATGAATCCAGTCCAGCCCTGAGTTGCTGTCAGGACACTGGGGAGCATCACTTTGAAATGCAAGGCACTCTGCACAGGACTGCTGATGTCTCCACTCTTCAAGAAAGTAATTAAACTGGGCTGGTGCTCAGATATTAGAATGATGGACATGATCACTATTTGTCATTACTAATGGGAAGAAAGGCCCAAACCAGCAGCTTAATTAGTTTATTGATTAGGACTATAAAGGACTATAATCAATTGGCAACATGAAGTATTTGGCCTGTTCAGTGCAACAGCAATTAAAATGGAGCAAGTTCAGTATATAATTTCACAATTCCTGTTTAGATCTTTCTTGTTTACTATATATAGCTCCATAGAATTAGCTAAACCCCATCTGCTTCTATTTAAAGCTGAAGTGCAACATCACCCATGTACCAACATACAAATTATTCTTACTAATATCCCTCTGGCAGTTCTTAAAAGCTGGACCATAAAAGAGCAAGGCACACGCTTCATCTGTGCATGATACAAAAGGAAAGCCTGACTAAACAAGTTTTAAAATACTTTGCAAAACCAAGGACAAGCAGAGGTTAACTAAGCCTCTGAGTGTACATGCCTGATAGCAGGAGAGCTGCATTTATTACTTGTAGAATACAGGAGAGTCTTTCTCAGCCCTATAAACATGTAAGTTTTAATAAACCCCTAGTACATATTTGCTTAATATTAATTAAGGAAGGACTAAAATAGTAGGCCTGAGGTCTAAAATAAGTGCTAAAAGGCACAGTCTGGAAGTGTAAGATAGAGATTTGAGCTACTGAAGAAACGTTTTGCATGTTAGGAGCTGTGTCGGGGTAAGAGTTTTAATTCTCATCATTGGTTTAGCTGGAAGCTTTGGGCATGGTGCTATACCTTAACCACCCACCTTTCTCCTCCTCAATCGTCTCCACAAGGTACCAGCTCTTCTCTTGCACTTTTTCCTCAAAACTTACAGCAATGTTTTTCAGTGTTGCTGAAGCAAACTTCCTCTGTTGCCTCCATATGTGCCCATTTGATGATATGAGCCCTGTAGGTATTAAAAACAAGCAAGCAAACCTTGCTCTGGGTCACATGTGAGTGATAGGATTCAGAAATGGCCATTCATCTTGAACAAAAACCCCAAACCAAAGCAAATACTCCCCATAGACAGGGAAAAAAAAACTATAGCTTTGCCTGGGAATTAAAATTCAAGAGTAATTGGCTTATGCTAAAGATCTAGCTTTATGGATTTGCTTTAATCTGCTACTTTGTCACTTTGCGTGGGAAAAAAAGGTGTAAGCCAAAATACTATAAGTACTATCACGCTGTTGGCAGAGCTGCAGGCAGGAGCACCATACCCTGTCTCTGGAGCTATATGCAACCGGGGGAGAGAAACTAAAGGAGAAATTAAAACCGAGGGGAAAACTCTTCAAGTGTATCGATTGCTGGGCAGCTTGCTTTTATTTCTCCTCTTTCATCAAGACCTGACTTTGATCCCATCATCATCCCTAAATCCAGGAGAGATTAAAATGTACACCTGTGAGATTATCAGATTGAATTCAGTTCTTGCCGCCTTCTGTGCAGGTAGCAAGGACTGAATCCAACTTGTTTCTTTCACTCTAATTGTTATAATTGCAAATAGATGAAAAATTTGTACCAAAATCCTGATAGCTGTGCTTACCAAAGCCTCTAAATATTTCTCGGAGGAGGGGAATATTTGGGCCTGTCTGAAAATATTTCAGCCTGGTGGACAAGAGCTTCTCTCACCATCTGGTATCCGTTGACCACCACAAAAGTCAGACTTCCAAACTGCACGCTGGAGATATTCCCGCACCGATCAGTAAGCTGAAAGAGAGTTCATCGCCCTCTGAGGGCAAGAAGGTGGAGATTTTCAAAACTCACCCGCACAAGACCTCAAGCAATGGCACATAACTTTGAATTTAGTCCTGCCTGGAGCAAGGGGACTTTAGAAAAACCCAAACCCAAGTGCACAGGTCCCATCCAATCTAAACTATTCCACGAAGCCTGGAGACAGCATAAAAAAGGGTAGAGATTCGTAGTGAGATGGTTTACTTCTATCGGTCTGACCTGGGTTTCACCAGGCCTTTGCATCAATTCAACTTGTATCAAGGACATGACTTGTTTTGTCTTGCTCTGCTTGTTCACAGGAAGGGTACAAGGGGTGAAGGCACCACCCTGGGTCATGACACCCAGGCTCTTGCTGCTGAGGGCAAAGTACCACAAAGAATCCCTTTCAGCAACTTCTTGTCTAAAGTAGTGTGGCTTCTTGCTCCAGCTATCCCATTTAGAAAGTGGCTCCAACTACTGATGTCTAGAAGCTTCCGTCTGAATTTGGCATTTATGGCCAAATTATAGCCGTTCTTCTTGCGTGGACTTTGCTAGCACTGGTGTCTCCTGAGCAGTATTCAACTCCCTGATGTGTAAGAGCAAAGGGCAATTGTATCATCTCTCAGGCCCCACTCTGCCAAGGAGCTGCTTCTTAGTATGAGCCTACACAAAAGGACACGCATGGTGTTGCTGAACTGCTGTAGTGACATGTGAAACCAGTCTGGGGCTAAATGGGTGTCTCAGTCGTGTGCATGTAAATGAACACAATTAATTTTATTAATAATAATTGCATGTATTGACAAAATATCCTGAGCACCCTGCCTCAGCCATCCCCCAAGGATTCCCCTTGGGGACACCCATGCTAGTGGCCTCTGAAAATCCAGGGTAGATAGACTGGCATCAGTCTGCTAAGTGAAAACAAGAGATAAACAGTCACCAGAAAGGATATTTACAACCAGCATGTCAGAAATTTTCTTCCCACTTTTTCAGAGAAGCATACTCAGCATGTATAAAATATCTCACGTTTGTTGGCTTTGGAGGGAGTCAAAGCTCTGGAAACCTTTCCAGAGCAATCACTGCCTCTTTTTGAAACACAGAAGAAGCCACAGGAATGGCTAACTCAGGGTCTTAAATGTTTCTCTGAGATGTAATGGGGCACATCATTGACCTCTGAGCAGACATAATGACAAGACAATTTCCAGAGGTGAACTTCACAGCCCAGTTTATTTCTTTCACAGCATTTGCCAACTGGCCCAACTTCCTGGGCTCCAGCAGAAAAAGATCATGGTCAGATGGGAAGAAAGAGGAGGAGCATTTAGGTCTTCCTCCACTATGGGTTTCTTTACCATTGGACCTTCCTACTCCCATGGAAGAGGCGGTGATAGTTAAGAGATAGAACCAAGAAGGGCCATCTATCATACGTGGTTATATAGCTAGTTCTTCAGAGGCTGCCCTCGCTTTACAGGTTTGGTGACAAAAGTAACAGAAAAGGTAAATTAGTGTTAATAGGAGAAATGTCCATGGAGCTCTTACCTTCTGCAGTGCAAGATGGAGGGGCTGCCTAAAGTCCACAAAGGTTCCCACGAGAGGAAAGATCTGTGGCCCTGGAGGGAAATTCCTGAGTCGTCTCTTTTTCATGAGGTCAGGAATCAAAAAACCCACGACCAGAACCACCGAGAACACCCGACCATTCAGCTTTTCCAAGAGAGAAAGCAAATCAGGCCAAAACTGAAGCTCCATCTTGGTTGAAGGACTCACAGGTTGTCATCCCAGGAAGGGACTTGATGCTGGTGTTACATTTGCTAAAACCGGGGTAAGAAAGGACTGGAAAGAAAACAAACCAAGCTAAGATGCTGATAGCTTACTGGGGACGGGATTTGTCATGGGCGAGGTACTTTCTTGTGTTCACCTACTGCCAGAGCACCTGCTGAATAACTAAGTTAAAACACCAGGATCTCCAAAAACAACCCCAAAACATTTGGCCAACCAAAAGCAATCTTGCAAACGCTTAGCTTTACATCTCTGTCAACTCCCTGATTTTCTCATGGAAGAATATTCCTCCCTTCTGCCCTTAGCAAGGAGCTCCTTTATACATACACACAGCCGGGATTATAAGCATTACAAACATTTGAGGTTAGGTGAAAGCAGCTTACTTGGCCAATGACATATGGTGGGCATTGCATGATTTAAAAACCTGTAAGGCAGCTGAGGTGATGGACACCATGCAAGTTGATGATCTTGTTATGTGCTAAGCACCATCTGCAGAGGGCCCGGACGCCTTCAGCACCCACCAAAGCCTGCCTGGCTTTCCCAGAGTCATCAGGTGAAGTGCGGACAAGAGGAGCACCGCAAGAGCCACTTAAATGAGAGTTAAAGGAGCTTAATTTCAAGAGTGAAAGCATAGGCTCATGCACTTCCCAGCTAAAGGACAGATTGGAACTTACACATTTATATCTCCTGGGTTTTCAAAGAAAAACCTCCTTTGAATAAGGCTTCACACTGTCCCAGGGGAAGGCTGCGGTGGACCAACAGCGACCTCTGTGACCGTGACTCAACCTTGCCTTGTCTGCCAATATTTTAGCTACAACTTGTCTCCAGCTCTTTTTCTTTCTTTTTTTTTTTTCTTTTAGAGATTTAATTTGCAAACAATCTAAATTTATACTGAAGCAAACCTATTAATAATGATTTTTCAAATTATTTGCCTAGAAGACATGGCGAGAAGTTCAGAAGAATGGTAAAATTTTTATTGTCTTCAACATTTTTTTCAGAAAGCTTTAATTTTTCAGGAAAAAAAAAAGGGCGAATTTTTATAGGAAATAATTATTGGAAATAAAGTTTGGTGTTCTTTAGTCTTACACCACCTTTAAAAGCTTTGCTGTCCATGTCTTCAACACCTTGGTGACTGCAGTGCCAGCAGAAGCACGCACAGGCTGTATGACAGACCTGCACCTTGGTTTTTGCAGGAGTCCTTTTTAAGGGTGATACCTCCCTGCAACCCAACACTTCTTGCCTTGAAATATTATTTACAGGTTTCTAGATGGTATTAGGCACGAAGTGGGGAGCGGCAATGGGAAAACCATCTCGCATCACTGATCTATAAAGTATATTTTACATGTTAAAGTAGCACAGCTGTGAGCAGCTGTGGTTGGACAGGCTTCGCTTGTCCCCGTGCTGCTGCACCCGTGATGTACCTGTTTGCATCAACGCACCTGTTCCAGCCTTCCTGGTGTGGCAAGCCGAGCCTCGCTTACCAGGGGCTAAATCAGGATAGTGGGCTCGTGCTCTTCATCCTGGCATCGGGGAGATGACTCGGTTGGTGGAGGTGTCAGCCTACAGCATGCTCAAAGGGACTGTGATGATAAGGCGTCAACTTCTGCTAGCCCAGTTTCACTCCCCTGTTCTTCGCTATGCCATATGATTTGTCAGCATGCACACAGAGTGCAGATCCCTCTACCACTTGTGGCTGCTGTGAATCGGGCTACGTGCAAAGCCAAGGTGTTAATGTGTTCTTCTGGGTGGTGTTGTGGGGGTGGATGCATCGTGGTTGACAGGAGAAATGTTATTTTTAGCAGGAGGAGCACATTTTGCATGTACTCACATGTGTCTTGTCAGTCAGAAACCTCAAGCCTATTACTTTGCCTTGAAGCTTCACATGTCCAAATGCATCTCTTCACAAAGTTCTTAACATGCCAGATTTACTAAAAATTAGGGAAGAGCATTCCAGTATTACCAGGGCTCTCCTAACCTTGGTAGACAATAACACCAGAGTGTTACCAAACTGTGTTGCGATGATGCTATTTTGGGTCCCAGGCTTTAATTGAATCAGTTCTCAGCACGTGGTGATGTGCAAAGCCCCAAAGCACTGAGGAAGTCGTATCGCTGCGGCGCATGGGCAGTATGAAGGTGTTGGACAACTCCTGGGTTTGCAGTCTCAACAAGAGCCTGAGCCATAAGATCCTGGTCACCTGGAAGATGAACCTGTGCCTCTGGCCAGCACCACGAACACAAGAAGTTTGGTTTTCTGTGGTCCGAATGGCCAAAATGTGAATTAATATAAGGATGTACACCCCCACATCTAATAGGGAGCAGGATGTGAACCCACCTTCCCCAGTTCTTCCTTGAATACCTCTTCTGACCCCAGTACACAACTTTCTGGCCACCTCACCTGAGCTCGTGGATACCGTGAAGATAAATTGTGCCATATTGCATGGACATACACACATCACTGCTTGAATATTAAGGCATCTTGAACAGCCAACAGACAGAAATTGGCCCATATGCTTTGTACCTTCTTCCCTGGCTAGATGTCTAACTGTGTGCAGAAGGTTTTGAAACACAAAGAGAAACATTCTGTTAAAAATGCAATTACCATTTGTTTTTCAAGATATAGTATCCCATTATTTTTTCCAGAGAAGTGAAATTCAATAAGGTTACAACAGAATGTAGTCCAACAGTTACCGTACTTTCAGAGCATTATTTAAGCTACAGAATTTCTTAATGATTAGAAACATATGTAGGAAAAATCACATGCAAAATGAGAATGACTGGAGACAATTTTCCCCCCAAACACTTTTTTTTTTTTTCCAGGCAAGTAACAGCTCATCCACCACTGTGGTTCCATCCACCACGTTGGAGGTGTGAGACCCCCACCCACCCAGGGAGCCACGTGCTCAGGTCATGTCAACTGACCGGCTCCAACGAAGTCCAAGAACCCATCCTGATTTACATAGAGGAATATTTTGCTGCTTCTTTCCTCCTTATGTCAAACCCAAATGAGTGATGGCATTTGCACCACGGGCAAGCTGGTAAACAGCAGTGACCACCCCGATGTGCATGTTAAGGCCATGTCTCAGAGGGCTTCCACACAGGTGTAGCTGCCGTTTCATGACCCAGCCCATGTGAGTCCTAATGAAGTCAGAGGCAATGGCAGCTCTGGACACTCGTTTTCTTTTAGGATTTGCTTTACTGGATCGAAAGAAATCTACAGGAGATTTGTAATTGCAGAAGGCAAGGAACGGAGAGTGCTGGGGCACCCATACTGCCCAGAGCAAGCTCAGGAAAGCCATGCTTGAACCCAGTCCTTAAGCTTAAACTCCCCACTTGTGTGATTTCACCGAGACATAAACGCTCCCATGGGCATTAAGGGCTCAGATATCTCTGGGAGTCTGACTCCAAGCCCCAAAATCAGGGAGCCAAGTCCATATTTACTGCTGTGCATGTGTGGGGAATACTAAAGTGCCTCCAATTTTGCATCTTCTCTATCCTCTACTTAGGACTAGATGCAAATATTCTCCAGATTTTCCTAGGACTCCCTATAGCCTCCTGTCCACAACAACGTTTCCAGCACTAATTAAAGCTATAAAGCAGGCAACTGTCACCATGAATGGGTAAACTGAGGCATTACAAACCTAATCCAAGCGGTGTGAGTAGACCTACAAAGCGACCCGTTACGCAATCCAGGAGGGATCCCAGAAGACACGACGCTTGGTACCCTTCTGTAACGGCAACAACGTCCCTTTGCTTCTGTAGCGAACAGTTGTGTTGGAGGGATGGCACTCAGATCTGTCAGCCAGATAATTACATGCAGGTAGCAGAAAGTGCCGCAGGGAGCACCCCCCGTGCCTCCAGACCCCGGATCGCCCCCTGACTTCTTGGTCTTCGGGCCAAGATTTGATTCCCTTCGCAGCCAGGAGCTGCGTTGCCTTTGCCAACCCCGTGCCACCCCACACGGCAGACCCCATACGGACGTATCGAGTCAGATTTCGGGGGTGCCGGGTGCTTCCCCCCAAGGAGGCCATGCTCACGGCACTGCCGGCGGCAACCGCCCACCATCCCCCTGGCAAGACTCTGCCGCCGTCTGTTGCAACCTGGCAGAGCCAGGGCTGCAACCCTGGCTGTTCCCGTATCCCAGCTCTTCCTCCGACTCTCCATAAACCTCTAAAATACTCTCCTTCCTAAGATGCACCTTTTCAGTATTCACAGAGAAGCGTACAGTCACATATTCCTCTCAAAGCCACAAGGACTTGACTAGAGCTAAAATGTCATTTATGTACATATCACAAGCGTTTTTCTAGGCACAGATGTCTTTCTGGTGCCAATATGCTGTTTATGTACTTATCTGTCACAAGCACATGTCTACATACATATGCCCTGCTGGCAGAGGCACAGAGCATTTTGAAACTCTTATTAGACTGCTAATGAATAATACGCATACAAAGGAGAAAACAGAAGGTGGATCTATCAGGAACAGCCTCTTTCTTAAGTACCTTTTAATTGTAGGAGAGGAAGAAAAGAGATGAATTTTGATATGTTGGCATCTGTGAAGGCCTGCTTAGCAGTATTGAACACCACCATTTTAAAAGCGGATTTTTCACAGGTTTGGGTATTTTTTTTTTGGGGGGGGGGATGATTTTTTTTTTTTTTTCCCTTAAAAAAAAAAAAAACACCCCACCACAAAATTTTGACACTGAGAGTATTGCAAATCCTGGTGCCAATGATGTACGATAGTGTGATTGTCACCATGGAATGCTGAAAAGCCCGAGCAGCTGTTTGGCATATTGACAGTGCGAATTCGGAGCGTTTTAAATGCAAATGACAGTATTCAATTGATCGCACGAAAACAATGGGTCATAGCCTTACCTTTCCTTGGCTACGCTCTGAATAATCAGTCTGCAAATCCATGCACAATAGGGATATTGTACACGTTCTGGGGATTTTGTTCCCTGTGTACACGGGGGTCGGTAAGATGCTTCTTTTGGGCAGAGCTGAAAAAAAAAAAAAAAAAAGGTGCTGCTGCACTGTCCCAGGCACCGGGCTGGGGTGAGGTGGAGAAAGGGGCATAATTTGCTCGAAATCCACCAGGTCCTAAGCGTCAGCCTGTTTTTCTTCACATCTATCCTTCTCTGCTTGCTCTTTAATCATTCCCAAGGGTGGCTGGCTTTCTGCCTGACTTGTCTCCATTATACCCTGCTGCAATCAATATGGCAAGCAGAAATCAGCAGGAGAAGG